TATATTCATACAGCAATGCACCTGTCACACCATGTGTTTGTATATGACAATAAAAAAAAATCAATACTCAAACAGGACTTTTTTTTTAGAGGTATCTAATACAATATATAAAATGAAACTACCCCTCAAAGATTAACAGCAGGTAAATGGTAGGGTTTTTGTTGTTGTTGTTGTTGTTTTATCCCCCATAGTAGGTTTCTCAGCCGATGCAGTAAGCCAAATCGAGCCGAATTAAAAAGTAAAGGACCGGGTTTATTCTGCGCAAAGCACTCCCAGGTGACTCTTGGGAAAGAGAGTAGGAGAGAAATCTCATGGTAGGTCTAAAGGGGGCGATTTAAATACCCAGTAGGGGTACAGGGTGGTGACATGCCCCAAGGCCATTTAGCGCTATGGTAAACTCTTGGGCGGTTTCTCTGAGAGGGCAGAATTTGGAGGGGGAGGAGTGGAGCGAGCTGTAGGCACAGGGCAATGACAAGTCCTCCATAAACTGGGTGGAACTCGACTTTTGGCAGTTTCTCTGAGAGGTTGGGTTTGGGGGAGGCAGAAATGAGGCTTTCTCAGCTGGGTCGAGCTATTACAGGTGAACAGTAAATGTGCAGAAATTTGTGTCTTGTTTTAAAAAAGAAAACATCTTTAATATTTCAGTAATTAAAAGTCCAACACCAAATGGAGGACTGAGGAAACACTTCTTTAAAAAACATGAAGAGATAGAGATAATATCTGAACACATAGAAAGGTACTCAAAAGAATTATTCACTAGATTAGAGAGATACAAATTTACATCAGAATGAGATTGCATTACAGGATCATGAGAATGGCCAACATCAAAGACTGAAATAACCAAGCTTTGGTAAAGAAGTAGTAGAAATACTGAAGCCTCCATTTATTGCTAATAAAAACAACAACTGAGAACAGCTTGGCTGTTTCCCATAGAGTCTGTGAAGTCGCCCATATTCTAGTCATTAAATGCCCCCAAAGAAACGATAATCAGGAAAAGGGGTGTAAACCCAAAGACTCATGCCTGGATATTCCTAGCAGCATCAGTCATAAGAGCCATAAGATGCCAGTTTGCCATAGGATATCTATGTACTAAAACTTGCCAAACTGGACTTTAAAGGGTCTGCTTCATTATAAGAAAAAATTTCCCTTGATAATGCTTTCAAAAAGGTAATTGCTCAAAGAAAACCAATCATGTACCATGGGGTTCTTGATAGAAGTTTAGATAAAGTATATGAGAATAATGGGAAGAATATCTGGAGGGAGGTGATGAAGGTCATTTTTTAATGGGAAATATATAATATTTGAAAGTAAACTATGATCAATCAAAGGCATATACTATAGAACTTTGCTAAACCATCAAAATATAAAGCAAAGAGCTGGAGATCTAGCTCAGGTTATAGAATGCTTGCCTAGCATGCATCAAGCCCTGGACTCATTCCCCAACATCATATACTGGCCGTAGTAGTTTATGCATACGACCATACTACTCAAGAAGTGGAGGTTGGGGAGGGGTGTCAGAAACTCAAGAGTATCTTTGGCTAACTTAGTGAGTTGATGCCAACATAGGCTATATGAAATCCTGTCTCAAAGACTTTTTAAAATAAACTGGAGACATATAGCTAAAAACAAATAGGAATAATAAAATAATAACATTCAATATACGCAAATAATAAAATGAAGAAGAGAACAAATAGAACAAATAGAAAACAAACTTCAAGACATAGATTCAAACTTATACAGTGATAATTACATTAAATATAAATGGTCAAAATAAATCATTCTAAAGCCACTGGCTTGTCAAACAATATAAAAAGCATGACTCGTGGATAGTCATAAGAAATCCACATATAGGTTTCAAGTAGAAGGACTACACCGTGCAAACTCTAGTTATAGAGTCACAGCTACAAGAGTAGCTATAATAACATCATGCAAAGTAGGTTTTAAGAGAAATAAAATCTCAGACACAAAGGAAATATTTCATAATGATAAGGTGGTCTCTTTCATCATGAGAATTTAACAACCCCCAATGTGTATGTGCCCAACAGAGCTTTAAGACATGTGAAGACAGAAATAAGGAGACAAATCCATAACAACTAGAGGGATCAGCCTCTTGCCAGCCTCAGTAATTGCCAGACCAAGCAGACAAGAATCTGTAAGAACCTATATGAGAGACTTGATAAACATAAGCAGCCACAGAAGCCCAACTGACATCCAACACCGGCAGAAATCACAGTATTATTTCAATCAATCTGGAACAGTCACAGAAGTAAGACAGTATAAGCCATGGATCAAGGTCCAATAAGTTTAAAAGGATTGAATAATATCAAATATTCTTTGACCAATACAGAATTAAAATAGAAATTAAAATCAGAGAGATTATAGAAAACACCAAAAATTTTGAAAATTAAGGGAAACTCATAAACCATATTCAAAGAAGAAATCACAAAAGAAATGAGAAAATACTTTAATTAAATAAAACTAAAATACAATATATACCTAGTGCAACAAAACTAAAGGAGTATATAGAAAGACCATTAAGGTATTCCATGCTTACAGGAGGAAAGAAGGGAGGTTAATAATTACAATAATCAATAACCTAAGCTTCCATCTTGAAGCCTAGGAAAAGAAGAGCATGACAGGCCCAAATGAAACACAGGGAAGAAAAAATAAAGAGCAGAAGTCATTACATTTCTGCAACTGAAAAAAACAATGAAATGAAATTGGTTCTGTGAAAAGGCAGAGTTTGTAAAACTCTAGCCATACTACTCACAAAAAGGGAGAGAATTATCAATATTTGGAATAAAACAGGAAATATTCTGATAGAGCCAACTAACATCAAAAGAGTAATAAAGAAACATGAAGAACTTTATGCCAACATTCAATGACTTAAATAGCGCAGGAAAAAAATCTCCGAAAGACACACACTACAAAAACACTCATGAAGAGATAAATAATTGAATCAGTCTCATATCCACTAAAGAACTGAATTTGTAGTTTAACAATCTTCCCACAAATAGATTTTACACCCAGATGCTTTAAGTGGCAAAAGCACCACTTTGTACAAAGTTTTCTACAAAATAGAAAGAGATAGAACTCTTTCCAATTCATTTACCCTGTTGCTAAACCAGACCAAAAAAAAAAAAAACGCAGAAAAATTATATATCACTATCTATCATTAAAACTCTTTGAATTGTCAGAATGAATTGAGTAGTATTTTAAAGTCACTTAAACACAACAAGAGCCGTTCATTTAAGGTATGGAAAGTTGGTTAAACACTGGAAAATTGATGTCATTTAATATAGTAATTATAATACAGAAGTATCATCTGAATGACTAGAGAAAGCATTTAACAAAATTTCACATGCATTCATGGTTAAAATTCCCAAGAAGCTTGGGGAAAGAGAAACATTCTCAAGTTTAGTGAAGGCCGTCTACAAACAGCCCTCCACATCTGGTACACATAATGAAGGAATGAACACTCCCCTCTTGAACTGGGGAAGAGGGAAGAACTGAGCCTACCACCCATTTCAACACCACTCTGGAGGTCCTAATCTGTGTAATGGTGTGAGAAAAACATGAAGACACTCGGATTTGAAGAAGTATGAACTTCTGACTTTAGACAACATGACGACCAACAGGAAATCCTAAACAACCCAGCAAGAGAGTTGGTAAGGTTTAGGATTGAAGGTTATCACATGAAAGCAAAGTTCTTAGAAACTGGCAATAAAAAGCTGGAATTGAAATGACAAGACAGCATCCTTTCCAATTGCATAAAAACATGACTCAGGGGCAAAACTAACTGATAAAATGTTGATGAAAGTGGCCACGAAGCCCTTATAAAAAGAGAGAGCTGTAAGTGTGCGCGTGTATTGGAAGAGTCAGTGTGGTTACGATGTCACTTTTCCTCAATATGCCCAGTACAATCCCAATAAAAAACCACAGATGATTTAAAAAAGAAATTGGCAGGATACTTCTATAATTTATATAAACAAACAAAAGGCCTAAAATGGTTACAATGGGTAAATTTGAATAATAAAAGCAAGGACTGGAGAGATAGCTCAGTGGTTAAGAGCACTGGCTACTCTTGAAAAGGATCCGGGTTTGGTTCCCAGCACCGATATGCAGGCTCATAACTGTCTGTAACTCTAGTTCTAGGGGACCTGACACCCTCTTCTGGCTTCTATAGGTACATGCATAGATACAGGCAAATACTCTTGAACGTAAAATAAAAATAAAAGTGAAGTTGAAGAGGTCACATCACCTGGCCTCAAGATTTACATACCATGATCTAAAATTGTTACAATTTTGAATAAGAAGAACAAAGTTGTGGGGTCCACATTACCCAGTTTGAAACTTACTATAAGGCCAGAGTAGTTACACTAGTTTAGTGTTTCCTAAAGGAAGGATCACATAGACTAAGAAAATAGTACTGATGAGACAGCAGCTAATAGACTTGGGGAAAATATTTTCAAACTGTTTATCTAGTAGGAAATTAATATCCAAAGTGTATAACGAATCATATAGCACAGTAATAGGAAAACAACCCAGCTAAGAAATAGGGAAAGGGGCTGGAGAGATGACTTGGTGGTTAAGAGAACATACTGCTCTTGCAGAGATCTTCAGTTTGGTCCCAGTACCCAGGCCAAGTAGCTGGCAGTGACCTGTAACTCCAGATCCAAGGGGAGCTGATGCCCTCTTCTGGCCCCCGTGAGCACTGCTCATGTACAGATACCCCTACATAGAGAGACACGTAAGTATATAATTAAAAATAATAAATAAATCCTTAACAAAGAAATTAGTTAAAGACTAGGTAAGACCCTTTTCCTAGAGAAGACACATCTGACCAAAGATCACTGGACATTTTTAGTCATCAGGAAAGGCAAATCAAAACCATTATGGGATATTACCTCAGACTCAGTAGGATGGCAGCTCCCAAAATGTCAAAAAAAAAAAAAAAAAAAAAAAAAAAAAAAAACTGGCATTGAGGCTCAATAGAAGAGCACCTGCCTAGGATGCATAAGACACTGGTTCAGTACCCCCACTGCCAAAAATAATAACAAAATGTCACAAGATAACTGCCCCCAAAAAACAAAAGTGATGGGTATAGAGAAAAGAGAATCCTTGTAAGCTCTTGGTGGCAATGAACATTGTTACAGCCACCATAGAGAACAGCCAGGAGTTTTCTGAGGAAATTAAAAATGTAACTGCCATATGAGGTATATTAGGTGTATACACAAAGGAGATACAATCCCCATGTGGTTGGGATAATCACAGACCCACACTCACTGCAGCATCATGCACGATATCCAAGATACGGAAAGAATCTTACATATCCACCTATGAGTGAATGGGTAGAGAAGCTGGTCACGATATACAAAGGAATATTATTTGGGCTTTAAAAAGGAGACCCTGCCATTTCCCACAACAAGGATGCATCTGGAAGACATTCTGCTAAGTGAAATGAACCAGACATGGAAAGGAAAATATTGCGTGATCTCAATTATATGTGGAGCCTTAAAAAGTCAACTATGCAGACAGAATAAAACAATGTTTCCACATACACATTTATTGATTTTCAACAAAAGTGCTGATGTAATCCAATGGCTAGTGCATCGGCTTTTCAGCAGAATGTGCCAGGGCAACTGGCTAAGGAAATAACCCATCGCCTCTGCTGCACTATAGAAACATTCATTGGAAACGTTTTGTGAAGAAGTGTAAGGACTAAATGGATGAAAATCGTAGAAGAAAACATAAGAGAAAACTGTCTTTAAGCTTGAGATTTGTTATCTTTGATACAGAACGCACAGACTGTAACAAGGAAAAGAAAGACGAATTGGATTTAATCAAAATTTAAAACATCTGTACAGTAAGTTAAGCAACTCAATTTTTAAAGTTGGTAAAATTCGAATAGATTTTTTTTTTTTGCCAAGGAGAAGATGTAGATGGCAAACAAACCAGTGAGTAGAAACTAAATGTAACTGTCATTAGAAAAATGAAATTAAAACCCCCAGAGAATACCACCACTGGCTCCATAGAAAGGCTACGATGAGAAGTGGCTTGTTGAGGACACAGAGTGACTGGAAGCTGGTGTAAATCCCAGGGGAAGCAGGATTGGACCTGCAGCGGGTCCTCATAAAGCCGTGTTCTATGGCCGACAAACCCCAGGTCTAGGATTTTAACCAAGCAGAGGGAAAACACAGTTGTATAGTGTTTGGAAAGTTTTATTTATGGTAAGTGGATGGTAGAAATAATTCCGATGTTTACATTGGAAAATGGACAGCTGATTTAATAGGAAACACAACTGAAAAATCACATCAAAGCATCCACATGGGCCATAAAATCGATGGATCTCAGAAGCACTGGTGAATCAAAAACACAGGACTAGATTAGATTAGAAAAGGTAACACCAGATTGCAGAAAGATAAGGACTGGGCATGAGAGCACCGAACTGGCCTAGAAAACCCTCAGGGGAACTTTCTTCGGTATCAAAAGCCTTCTATATCTCAATTATGATTTCAGTTGTACAACTGCGAACATTTGTCAAAACTCACCACACTGCAGTCCTTTAAAAGGTAAACTCCCTACCTAAAAATATTTAGAAATACTTAGACCAAGCAAAACAAAAGAAGAAACCACCCTCCTTAAAACAAGACAAAAACACCTTACCTAAGCCCAGTTACCTCGTTTGTAAAATCATATCTACTGTGATACACGCTTCCCACGGAAATGTTATCCTGGCCTGAGTCCTAAGTCCCTGCTTTGACTTGGATTTGCCAGTTTGTGTTGTTGATAAATAAAGATACAGGACATTTATGACAAGCATCTATTATTATGCTCCATACATCTGAGACGTTGCACAGCTCCGAAATGAGTATGACATTCAATAGAAGAAGCCATAAAGAGTCAATAATCTTTTCAGAACCCAACCAGATGCCAGACTCCAGACCATAGTGAGAACAATTTGCTTTTGAATTCAGCCCTGCCTTCTTTTATTCATTTGCAACAGAATGTTTGTTGATTGGGGTTGAAAGAAGAATTTTCAGAAATGATCCTGTTTATTTCTCATGGCCTAGGCGGCGTCAATGTTCTGACACCCTCACTGTGAATTGTAGACGTGTGTTCATAGTTGACACAATTACACTCCAAGTCCTTGTAGTTATTTCTTCCATTCCCTTGCCTTTGGAAGGGAGCTCACTCCCTCGCCTGTGTTTAGACCCTATCCCCACTCTAACAGCAATAAAGTCCCATAGGCTGACTTTAGTGTGAGGTCTTCCAAGACCCTGGGAAATATCATTGCCCTCAATGGCCTGGTGCCTCATCATTCTCTGCCTGACCTAGTTAGGGTTACTATTGCTGTGACCAAAAACAACTTGGGGAGGAAAGGGTTTATCTGGCTGACATATCCTGAGTCACAGCACATGGAAAGGAAGCAAAGGCAGGAACTCAGACTACGTGGGAACCTGGAGGCAGGAGCCCTTGCAGAGGCCACGGAGGAATGTTGCTTACTGGCTTGCTCCACATGGCTTGCTCAGCCTGCTTTCTTATAGAACTCAGGACCACCAGCCCAGGGCTGGCCCCACCCACAATAGTCTGGGCCTTCCCATACCAATCACTAATTAAGAAAACACCCTGCAGGCTTGCCTCCAGCCCCATCTTTTTGTTTGTTTGTTTTGTTGTTGTTGTTGTTTTGGAGACAGGACACCATGATGGCCTTGAACTCACAGAGATCTGCCTGCCTCTGCCTCCCTAGTGCTGGGATTACAGGCGTGCAGCACCATTGTCCGGCTACTATAGCCCCGTCTTATGGAGGGGTTTTCTCAGCTGAGGTTCCCTCCTCTCTGATGGCTTTAGCTTGTGTCAAGTTGACAGAGAACTAGCCAGCACACTGCCCAAATCACTGCTTATTTCAGCTCGAGATAAATTTTCTAAATCTACTCCTATCGGGATTGTCTCAATCATATCTAATGCAGATTGAACCACAATGATTATTACTTCACTTTTTAATAGTGATAATGGTAACGTAGCAACAACCATCACCCTGCATTGGTAGCTGGGGTTAGGACAACGCTACATGTTAACAACTGCTCCTTATAGGGGCACGAGGCACAGATACCTGTTTTTACCATGAGGGATCCAGGCTCACAAGGTCTCAGAGGCTTTGCTCACACCATGAATCCAGGGAAATCCAGGTCTCACATCTGCAAAGTTTTTGAAAGAGATGACAGTTTTCTTTTACTTGAGCTGTTTGGTTACACCAAGTCAAGTCCCCAGACAAGTGTTCTTCCCTGCTGACTGGTGGCAGGCAGACTTAGGTGGCACCTCAGTGATTTACAGCTATGAGATCCTTCCCATTTTCTAAACTGTACTAGACATCACTAGTCAATCATCATCTCAGCCACCAAGCTCCTAGATGACTTGTGAATCATTTCTTTGTTCTCCTGAGGCACCCTCAGCAACTGATCACCATCAATGGCCGAATCACGGGGGTGGGGGCATTTCTAACTTTGCTGAGCTTTGTCTAATGCTTTGATTCTTCCCATCTGCAGGTGGGATTAAAGATAAAGACGACAGGAACATGCTGGGGAGTGTCATCCAGTGACTGGTCCACAGTGGGATCTCACCCAAGTGCCCACTCTACAGCTGTTGTCATGCCAACCCTAGAGCATCAAGCCCAACCATTGTATGCATTTAGTTTTTTTTTACATTTGGTTAGATTTTTTGTTTTTGTTTTTGTTTTTGTTTTTAATCAACTTGGCACAAGCTAGAGTCATCTGAGGGAACCACAACTGAAAATATGTCCCCATCAGATTAGCCTCTAGGCAAGAACTGTGGGGCTTTTTTTTGTTTAATTGGTGATTGATTTGAAGGTACCCAGTTCACTGTGGTTGTTATAATCCCCAGGCAGGTGGTCAACTGAGCAAGCCAAGAGATGCAAGCCAGTAAGCAGCAGCCTTCTATGGCCTCTGCTTTACCTCTTGCCTCCAGGTTCCTGCCTTGAGTTCCTGCCTTGCTTTCCCCTGATGATGGACTGTGACCTGTAAGCCAAATAAAACCTTTCCTCTCCAAGTTGCTTTTGGTCATGGTCTTCGTCACAGCAATAGAAGGGCAGACAGTGAAGCGGCAGGACAGACAATGAAGTAAGCAGCCGGACAGAATTCAATGTGCTGAAATACACAATCTAGAGCAGTACTTCTCAACCTTGGCTACAGAACAGAATCATGCCAGCAGGAGCCTTTCTACCACACAGATTCCCAAGTACCATTCTAGACTAAGTAACCTCACATCTAACTCTGCTTCCAAAAGCACCTCATACAGACAAATGCTCACACGTGCACAAGGGTAGTGTGTAAAAGGACATCAACAGGGGAGGCAATAGAAAGGGGGCTCGCAGGACCCAACTTCTCTGATCCAGGGAAAGGGAACTCTAATTAGAGAGGGAGAAAGATAAATCCAGAAGAAGGAAAGAGGAAGGGGAGTAAGACAATAGTAAGGATAGCTGAGAAGGTCATAAGGAATCAAAATATTAACTATCTACCAAAAAAAAAACTACAATAAATGTCTGCAAGTCTCTGTGTAAATATACATGGTCTACACGAACTTTTCTCATCTGGGCTGACAATGCACCCTTCAAGAGACAAAGACCATACAACAAAACACCAACACTAGGCATGAGAAGCCCTCTATCCATTTGTTGGCCAGTGTTGTCCAAGAGACTCCCAAAACATTACGGCTGTTGCTATTGCCTCCCAGAGGTGGCAGGTAAGTCCCTATTGTTGGAGGCACGTGCACTTCAGATGCAGGGCCCAGAGGACTTGAGCTGGAACTGACCTGAAAGTCTGTCTTAGTTAATGTTTTTTTTGCTTTGAAGAGACACCATGAACACGGCAACTCTCATAAAGAAAACATTTAATTGTGGTGGTTCACTTCCGATTTCAGAGGTTCAGTCCATTATCATCATGAAGGGGAGCATGTCAGTGTGCAGGCAGACATAATGCTGGAGCTGAGAGTCCTTACATCTTGATCAGCAGGCAACAGGAAGTCAACTAACAGTCACATTGAGGAAAGCTTGAGCAAAAGAGACCTCAAAGCCCACCCCAACAGTGACACACTTCTTCCAACAAGACCACACCTCCCAGTAATGCCATTCCCTTTGGGGACTATTTTCTTTCAAACCAAACATTCCATTCCTTGGTCCCCAAAAGCTTGTAGCCGTATCATAATGCAAAAAAAAAAAAAAAAAAAAAAAAAAAAAAAAAAAAAAAAATGCATTCAGTCCAACTTCAAAAGTCCCCATAAGTCTATAGCAGTCTTAAACTTCTTTCAAAGTCCAAAGTCTCTTCTGAGATGCATGGCAATCTCTTAACTGTAATCCCTCTGTAAAAATCAAAATCAAAAATCAGATCACATACTTCCAACATATAATGGCACAGGATATACATTACCATTCCAAAATGCAGAGAAGGGAGCATAGTGAGGAAATACTGGACCAAAGACCAAAAACCAGCTGGGCAAACTCCAAATTTTGCATCTCCATGTCTGATGTCAAAATGCTTTTTAGATCTCCAACTCCATTCAAGTTTGAATGCAACACACTTCTTCCTCTTGGACTAGTTCCACTCCCTGTTAGCAGTTCTCCTCGACAGGTATACCATGACTCTGGCATGTCTAACAACCTGGGTTCTCCAAAGACAATCCAGGCTTCAATGTCTCAGCTTCTCACAATGGCCGCTCAAGTACACCTCCATTCAGGGACACCCTGACACAAGCCTGGCCTCAATAGCTTTATTCCACAACTCCTTTCTTCTGTCCTTAACTCTAAAGTCAGAACCATGTGGACAAAGCTGCCAAGTTCTGCTCCTTGCTGGGGCTGGAACATGGCCCCTCATTCAATTACATCTTCACCAGCTTTCTGTCTTCCACTGACTAAGCTTGGCTGTAACTTGCTCTGTAGACCAGGCTGGCCTCAAATTCAGAGACTCCCCAGCCTCTGCCTTCCCAGTGCTGGGATTAAAGGTGTGCCCCACCACATCCAGCTCCAAGCTTTCCCTTAGTTCCTTTTCACAGGTTGGAAACTTAACTGGGTGGTATCTTATCCTGAGGTCACCACTCCCTTTATTCCATTTCTTAATCTGTTTATCTCCTTGAACACAGAATTTAGCTTTATTCCACTTCCTGGTGCTTTTTTCTCCTCAAATTTACTTTTTTAAATTTACCCTGCTTGGTGTGCTCCTTTTCATTATAAATCTTCATTAGAGTTACTACTAACATCCACATGATAGAGTCTATACTAGGCTGTTTTGAGAGTTCCTCTGCCAATAGAATTAATCCAAAACTCTTTACTTTAGCCTCAAGCAGATTCTTTGGACAAGGGCAAAAGGCAGCCACTTTCTTCACCAAAATAGCACAAGAATGATCTCTAGGCAACATACTAAAATTCTTCTCCTTTGAAACATTTTGAGTGAGCCCCTGGCAGTTGAAATAACTCTTAGCCCCTCTGTCTTCCATGCTCCTACTATTATGACCCATTAAGTAGAGCTTAAAGCATTCCACTGCTTTCCAAACCCAAAATACCAAAATGCAAATTCCTCCAAACAAACACATGGTCAGGCCTATAACAGGAATACTCCAGTCCCTGGTATCAACTTTTGTCTTAACTAAAGTTTCTATTACTGTGAAGAGGCACCATGACCACGGCAACTCCTATAAATGAAAACATTTAATTGTGGTGGCTTGCTTATAGTTTCAAAGATTCAGTCCATTATCATCATGATGGTGAGCATGGCAGCATGCAGGCAGACATGGTACAGGAATTGAAAGTCCTTACATCTTGATAGGCAGGCAAAAGGAAGTGGACTAACAGTCACACTGAGGGAAGCTTGAGCAAAAGAGACCTCAAAGTGACACACTTCGAGGTGTTTCACTCACAGTGACACATTTCCTCCAAAGAAGCCACGCTTCCCAATAGTGTCACTCCCTTTGGTGTGGTGATGTATTGTGTCCCCAGTATTGTGCACCCTAATAAAGTTTATCTGAGGACCATACAGTAAAATAGAGGTCAGGCAATGGTAGCACATGCCTTTAATCTTATCACTCGGGAGGCAGGGATCTACCTGGATCTCTGTGAGTTCAAGGTCACACTGGGAACAGAGCCAGGTGTGTTGGCACATGCCTTAAATTCCAACACTAGTTAACCATAAAGGTCTGGAGGTCTGTACAGACAGACAGGAAGTAACAGAGCTGGGAAGGAAGAGGAAGTGATGTAGCTGGGCAGAGAGAAAAAATGAGATGGCAGAACAGAAAGGCATTTGGTGTGGGTAAACAGGAAGTAGGTCTCTTTGGAGACTGAGGCGTTGGTAAGGTGAGGTTTTTTTCTATTCCTCTGATCTTTCAGGTTTTAACCCCAATATCTGACTCTGGGTTTTTTATTAATAAGATCATTTAGCAATTCTTCTTACATTTTGGGAGCCATTGTCTTTCAAACCACTACAGCCTCCTCCCTGAGGATTAGATTTCATGGTATCCAAACGCACCATGCAAGCTTCCAAAAAGAGGAAAGCAACCAACAGTCCCACCTAGCTGTAACACCTCTGAACCACAATAATGGCCAGCAAAGCACAATAACCCTAAGGGTGCAGTAGTGGTACACACCTTGACGGCAACCAACACCTCTCTCATTGGAGGTAAGACTCACTCCACAGGGAGGATAGTATGCATAGTACTAGATCCCTAGACAACAACCAAGACTAATAAAGTCATGGATCTTTGAGGAGAACGTACAACTGCCATTTTATTAAACTGGCATAGTCCCTACCCACATTCTAAACATTTGTACTTATACCCACAGATAAGTAAGTATACTCCTCACCCCTCTTCAATGAAACTTCTCCTTGCAACAAACAGAGGCCATGACAGAAAACCACAGCCAATGACAATGCAGAGTTGTGGAGTCTAGTCCCAGTAGATACATCCACAAAGCAATTCCTACACCTGAGATTCATGAATCACTGTGGAAGAGTGGGTAGAAGGATTGTAAGAGCTAGAGGAGCAGTGAATTTCCTGGGAAAGTGTGTCTTCTGGTAATGTCAGAACAAGCTACACCCATAAAGTCTCACCACCTGCCTGAACATGAGCTGAAAAAGGCGATAGACATGCTAAAGTGGATAAGGGAAAGGCTAGGAGGCCTCGGCCCTACACAAAGAACAAGCAACCAAGGAATGCTGCAAGTCAGAGAAATAGTTTTCCTCAGGGAAGAGCATACCAATTGTTTGCCTAATACCAAAGGGCCAGCCCTGAAAACACACATATGAGTGACATCATACAGATGATCTGGTTACATTTATATATATGTATATATAAATGAAAGAAAGAGGCCATGAATTTGAAAGAGAGTAGGGAAAGTATATAGGGGTGGTCTGGAGGGAGGAAAGAGAAGGGGCAAATTATGTAATTTTTTTATTTTTTATGAAATTATGTAATTATAATTTCAAAAAATACATAGTTTTTTTTCCAGAGGCCACCAACAAAAGCTGCTTGTGAATGCAAATTATGGGAGCAATCTAAATGCTCATCAGAATAATGGGTGAGTTGATCATGCACCTATTTAAATAAGAGGACACAGTACATCACTATAAAAAAAACCTTTAAGATACTGTTAGGAGAAAATTAAGTTCAAATTATGTATAGTATTATAGACTCACAAAAATCTTAAAATAGGTTGAATACCTTATTTCTTTGACACAGTCATATGAAGAAAACAACTAGGAAATAGATAGAAATGTAAACATGAAATTCTGGATAGTGATCGCTTATGGGGGAAAGGGAGGGAAATGACAAAGGACCTCAATTGTCTCCACAATAGGTCACTAAAACAGTGGTTCTCAACCTGTGGGTCACAACCCCATTATCGGTCAAACAACCGTTCCACAGGGGTTGTGTATCAGATATTTACAGTACAATCCATAACAGTGGCAAAATTACAGTTATGAAGTAACAGCAAAAAAAATTTTATGGTTGGGGTCACCACAACATGAGGAACTGTATTAAAGGGCCACAGCATTAGGAAAGTT